TAACAGAAACAACAGACTATTGTAATACCTAATAAATATTCAAAAAATTATTTTCTATCATTTATAAACACTTTTTATTTCTTGAAACTGAAAAATCCAATTTTTTTTGGAAAATGTTTAAATAGCTTATTTGTAAATCTGATTATAAGGACAATTCTGACGATAAAAAATTAATCTAGGTAAGTCATGTTGTTTTTTTAGTATTTTTTAAGATATCAATATTTTTTGGAGTAGATAAATAAATTTAAAACGTAATTATTTTTATTTTCAAAATATTATTTTTGGGTAATTCCTGACATGAGTACCTATCATACTTAAATTATTTAGTATCCACATAATTTTCTCAATTTTTGGCATACATTTGTTTGTACATTTTCTATTGATTTATCAACATTTTGTTTCTGCTTTCTATTACACCATTTATATTATACACCTATGTGGCTATGTCGAATATTGATGTGTTCTATTTGACATCTTGTCTTGTGTCGTCGCCACGACTCACTCAGTCATTATTCGTCAATGGTGTATATGAAAAAATTTACTTAGCCAGCGATTTCGATCCAGGGGCCCATCAGTGGTCCGATGTAAATGTTTTTCACAGAGCGATAAGATATAAATGTAATATCAATGCGAAGGTTTACACAATATTATAAGTTTTTTAGTTTTTAACAAAGTGATTAAACAAATATAATATGCACTATACATCTTAACATAAATAGGTACTTGGTACATATAGCCATATAGCTTATAGCTACTAACCTTAGTGCTCGAATTGGAACAAAAATTGAGGACGGACTCTGATTTTAATTCAGAAAATACCGTTCCATGGAAGATAGATTTTACAGTAACTCGTGGGGGACTTTGTCCTCCACACCCCTTCCACAGTTACACGTATAGTAAATTAAATAATTAATACAACAACATTAAAATGTGAAGACACTTATTTTATTGTTTAGTCACTGAAGTATCTAGTAGTATGTGAAAAAGTGACGCGCTTTGCTCGTGAATCCATGCGAAATTGGTTCCGAAAATACGTCGAATAATAAATTTATGAAAACAAATTAATATCATTATACTGTGTTTTTGGTACATTTATGGTATATTATTATAGGGCAGTCATTGATAGTCTTCTATGATAACCCATTTTTCAAGTAAATAGTATTAATTAACATTTACTATAGTAAAATTATGAAAATAAAATATGTTTATCAAGTCAATAACTATATGTGTATCTATAATATTATTGGTACTGTATCGACTATTGTTGAAGGTAACCGTTTCCTGGATAAAAAAAACTCTTTTTTACTCTGTTAGAAAAAATGTAAATAAAATATAAATGCAACATTGAAAATTAGACATTCCCAGGGGGCGCGTTTCTAGCGTTCCTTGCTTAGTTAAATGAAGGGAAACGCTGAAATCTATGAAAATATGAAAGCAGGTTCCACCCCCCCCCCCCAAAAAAAAAATTCGAGCACTGGTACTAACATACTAACTACCTATTAATTTATTAATATAGCGGTTCTTAAACTTTGGTCCTCGGCTCCCAGAGGGTTCGTGGTACTGAAGGATCCACGGAGACTCTATCTAAAAATAAAATATAACATATTAACATGAATGAAAATTATACATATACACGTATTTATTAATATGAATGTTTGTACGTATCTACGTATGTGATTTGTAATATATGGAAAAAGTATTAAAATATAGATTATGAAAACATGAGATATTTTGGAACAAAAATGTGTTCGAAAGAAAATTGGTAGAGGGTCCGCGATTTCTAAAAGCCTCCCACTGGAAGTCCATGTTCAATAAAAGTTAAACAATTTTACCGTTTTTACAATATTTTTCAAAAAATACGAATATCCGAATCGTAAATATTTAAAAAATAAATATCATCAATAGTTTGAGATCTGAATTCGATATATTATTTTTCTAATCTTAAAGTACGTGTACCGATTCCTAAATACCATTTAAGTTATCGTAACAACATTAACTAGGGAATATCAATTTATTTCAATATTAATTGAAAAATATAAAACAAAATTACCAATTTAGATTTTGAGTGGAGTGATGATAATTATAACGTATATTTTTTATGTATATATACACGATTTATAGAGAAATAATTCTTTAAATTGTACATTCGGGTATTAGGCGGTAAAAATAAAAAAATCCCAGGAATCCGTATGTTTTCTTAATAATTAGGAAAAACAAAAAATAATTAAAGAAGACATTTTTGTGTTAAATAAATGTTCAAAAAATGTTTATATTAGCATATAGGTTTATCATTTGAAAAAAAAATTTGGCTCTTAACCTGACATATGAAATGTTGATTTTAAGATTCTGAGTAGAACATTCGTAAAACGAGCGTATTGACTTCTTAATGATTTTTAATGTTTGTAAACATTTTTTAAAGTAGAATAAATTAATAAAGTTTTAACTTCAGTATCTTTTCTGGTGGTAATGTGAGTCTAGTTGGTACATTTAATGGTCAAATTTTAAAATTTGCAGTAGATCGATTTTTTTAATTTTTTAAAAATATTGTCAATAAATAATTTTTTTCTCTGTCAAAAAATTTAAGTATTTAATACATGGCACCTTATAAGTTGTAAGAGGAAATTCAAAAATGTTGAGATTAAATCTGTAATATTTTTTAAAGATCGTCTGAAGTTAAAATGTTGACATGATCTGTTTGAAATTAAGAACATTTACATATTATAATAATTTTATGATTTCGAAATTCATTAAAAAAAATATTTGATTATTTCCAAGGTAAGAAAATGTAATACAAACTTCTCATAACCTTACCTACGTTGAAAAAAAAAGTTTTCTGAAAAGTCAAGGGAATTTTTTATGAGCATTTGAAGTTGAAATTTATTTTTATACGATATTTACCTGTAAATTAACGAATTCTCATCGGACAATTTTCTTATTTTGTTGTTATTATTAAAAAACGAATAATCATAGATAAGTACATGAAAGGTTGGCCAAATATTTATTTTATAATTACATGTTATATTCATGATTGAAATTTTCAAAAAATGTTGACTACTTTGGATCTATTTATTCTATTTCGTATTTATAGATTTTTTCAACTATCAATTAGTTTTGTCCTTTAAATTTCAATGAAATTGTTTTCGTTTGGTTAAATAGCTTGAAAATTAAACATAAAATGTCTCTAAAGTTGTATTACAAATATGTTTAGTGGGTAATGGGCATGTACTTGAACTTTTAAATTATATTATTATTATGTTTTTACACACAATGACATTTATAAGCCAAAATTAATTCAACATACAGTATTACTAATGTTTAATATTCGAATAAATTACCTTAATAGTAATAATTATGAATAGATTGATAGAGTAATCCAGACACGGGTAAGTTAAATTAATAAACAATTTAATATTGTAAATATTAATAATAATATAATGTACGTATTAACGTACAGTAGCCATGGGCCACGTATCTCGACTGTCTTAATAAATATATTCATAATAATACTATAGCTATAATATGAACTGGAACACCTTAGATTTTACTGTGATGCAACGTGATGGTCAAAAAACTTTTAGGCTGTGGCTATACACGGCGTTTTCCGTCAAATTCCAAATGTATTAATTTATATCGGAGTAGCTATACACGACGGATGTAATACGCCACGTTTTCATCCGGGGCGGAAAACGCCGGTCGGCTTGCGTTTTGGCGGACCAACGCCGAAGTAATAAAAACGGTCGACGGATACGTTCTGTATAGCTCGTCCGTCGGAAAACTTCGCGGATTCCGCCGTGTATAGCCCCAGTCTAATAATTTATACAAGGTTCCTCGTACGTTTTTAAAAGTGGAATTAAGAAAACAATTAAACGTAAATAAATAATAAATCTATAGTAATTACATATTTATGAACATTTGAAGTCAGAATAAGTTGCTACGACATACTCGCTAGTCGCTTGGTGCACTTGAAAAGTTGAAACCTGCTATACATTAGAGCGGATAGCGGGTATTTTTGTATTCGTTTTAATACATTTAAAAATGTATACATTAAAAATAACATTTTTTAACTTTTACAAAAATATTTTTTCTTTTAGCTGAAAATGTCTATTTTTTTAAAGTTCATTTTTTTTCGCGTAAGCTTTGAGAGTCAAACTTGTTTATTACACTGGTCGTGGGTGCCAATAAAACCGCGGTCCGTGGTATCGTAAGCTTAAGCGGACTTTTAACAACAGACGATGCTTAAACAGATTTCGACCAAATGAAAACTGCATTTTCATCACCTAATTAATAAATAGTTACATAATATTTGTACCCTATTATTTTTATTTTATCATTCAATATATTATATCAACACGAGCTGGACCACCCTTTCCCACCCCTAATCCCACGCCCTATAGGGCCTAGGTCATATATCATGTATGTATATACGAGAAGTGTTTTATGAATTATGATGCGTGACTATACTTGCGGTGGCAATTCAAGCAAGGTCGTCGTCATCGAGACTATTGTAGGTACCTATATTATAATTCAACACTTTTAAACGCCATGTCATGACAATATTACATTATATCTACTTTAATAATATAATACCTAATCGTTTGGATACGGAAAAATGTATTCGATTTTTACCGATTCCGTTGCAATTTAACACCGTCGCACGCTACCCGTTACCACATTTACACACACACCACACCACACACACACACACCACACACACACCACACACCACACACACACACACACACACACACACACACACACACACACACACACACACACACACACATACACACACACTCAAGTAGTACACACACGTACCCCCGTATACAGGCACACACATACGCACGTACACTCACACACGTGTGCACAGTGACGAACCGTACTAAGCATTGTAAGCATTTGAGGTGCGGCTAGGCGTGGTTACTATGGCGACGACAGGGAGGTGTTGAATCGACATTTTTTTCCTCGCCTTTTCCAATCACACCGCCAGTACACACGCCTGATATAATATACTTACGCGTGTACCGTTATCGGCCTCGGGCTACGATCATCCGACTCGCGCGCGTATCGGCGCCGTTCAATCGGTCGCACGGCCATATACATTGTATAATATATACAACGACACACACGTCTCCGGTCACTAGCCAGCCGAAATACTCGAGTGACGTCGTTCGCGTGTGGATAGCAGTCGCGTCGCCACCATGGCCGGGCTAGGCGACACGTCGGGCGACATACAGCCGATGACCGATCACGCCAAGGACATACTGCAGATGACCCGCGACTCGGAGATGATGCAGAGCTACGTTCGGGTGGGCAAGTCGGACGAGTCGGACGACTGCGGCGGTGGTGGAGGCGGTGGCAGCGAGGGGAACGGTGTGTGCGTCGGCGTGGTCGGAGGTGGCGTCGGCCGAGGCGAATCGGACTCGGACGATGTGGCCGGAGTGACGGGTTACGTGGTCGGCGTCAGTGCGGGCGGGGGCAACGGCCACGGTGGGTCGGGCGCCGGGCGGCCCGGCCGAAAGGGCTGCAGGGTGGTCGCTGGTCGACGTCATGGGAGGCGTAGGGGTGGTGGTGTTGGTGGGGCTGCTACTGGAGGTGGTGGTGGTGGTGGAGGTGGAGGTTCCTTTGGAGGCGGTGGCGGCGGTGCAACCACGACGTTCGACGAGCTGACCGAAGAGTTCAAGACACGCAAATCTGGCACAGGCGGCGGAGGAGGCGTCGGTGGCGGTGGTGGTGGAGGTGGTAGTGGAGGCGGTGGTTTCGGTGGAGGCTGGGCCAAGCGGCACAAGCGCGACTCTCGGTCCAGGCTACTCGAAGAGGTGTACACGGACAAGGACCGAGCGGCCGCTGTTAACCTAGGCACGCGTGACATCAAAGCATCGTTGCGTATGAAACGGCGACAGGACCGGAACCGGACGCTGCACATACCGTCCACGGCCGAGTCACCCACCCTGTTGGCGTTGGCCCGGCACTGCGTCAACGACGTGAGAGTGTCGCTCGAGTTCATCGACAAGGTTAGGTCGGTGACGAGGGTCGGGTCGGGTTTGAGAGATTTTTGGCTGGAAAGCCTGGATAATATCATAATCAGGCATTGAACTGTAAAAAATATGGAATGCGCATTGTATGTAAAGCCAGCCTCTCACGAGGCTCGTGACTGTACCAAGCAACTGGTCCGCGACGAGCCTCGAGGCTTGTGCCAAAATACCGCCTACGTTTATTTACGTTTGTTTTTCGTTCATTCAAAAGTGATTGAAAGCCACCATTTTGATTCCATTATCAATATTTTTATTGAAAACATATAAACAAAAATAACAATAATGAAAATGGAATAAAATTTGACGCTGTCCCCGATAGCGATACAAGTTTGTTGGTCCTTAACGCGTTCCATATTTACTGCAGTTCGTCGTTCGGTGTTTATCATATCAGTATAGCCTTTTTGCTTGTTTTGTAGGCATTTTACTAGTAAGTATATTATAATATACCTGCTTAGTGCTTATACCAGTTTATATTTTGTCGTAATACATTATAGTAAATAACCGTATTCATACCTATACCTAGACACCTAGGTACTTTAATTATCAGAAAAAAACCTATGCCATGTTAATATTTACCCAACACTGGTAAGTGTTAATTCACACCTAATAGTTATAACTTATAACTAAGTTAATTAATAGCTATTACTTATAACTAAGTTAATTAATAGTTATAACTTATAACTAAGTTAATTAATAGTTATAAATATAATATTTTTATTATTGTAAAATATATTTATAACTATTAATTTACACTGGGTGAATTAGTTATATTTTTCTATTTTCAACAATGGTTACCCATAACTGTTATGTATTTATTTTACTATTTAGCATTAGTACTACAGTAGGTTAAATTCATTTTTGTCAAAAAATTTACATTTGAAAAGTCATTGTGTATATATAATATAAATATATAATAATATACTCTAAAAGTTTCAAGCACCCACGAATAATATTTTTAAATTACAACAAAATAACTTAAATCATTATTCATGGTTATTTAATTTGGTTATTTCGTCATAACAACATTTGAACATAGAACATTTATATAAAAAACACATTTTTTAGATTTTTCGGTTACATAATTAACTACTCGTGTGCAACTTTGTTTTAAATTGTTGATCCTTAGCTATACACGTTGAACATTTTATGAATATTTAAGTTCAAAATAAACTCAATTTGATCAATTTTGTTAAAAAAGTTGAACTTTAAACATTTATAAAACAAAATCGTGAATATTTATTTTTATTTTTTAATAATTTTGAACTGATATTTTAAGCGCCTCAATAAATTTAGAGATTTTTTAGTAGCATAGCAATACGTTTTTGGATATTGATATATATTGGTTTTAAACAAAATTGTGTTGAACTTGAACTTGAATAATGACCGATGTCGAATGACTCATCTACATATACAGATTTAATCAATGGTTTAATGTATTAATTTTATCATATAGGTACTATTGTAGTCATGACAGTCATCACACTTGAGACATATGCGCTATGCAACAAGTTGTATAATATGCTGAAATGTCATACGACAATTCATATAATATGAACTTTGCTGTATGGAACGGCGAATATATTATTATATAATACACGCAACACGCGTGTACTGTTCACTAGGCTTCACGAAATTCAACATCGAACAAGTCTCAAGTCTTAACAAACGCCTTGCAAGTTCGTGTTGAGGTTGTCAGTAAACGTTGAGTTATTCAAGTTATTCACTTAGTGACGGAAATGTTCACACGTACCATCACTAATGTTTGCACTGATCGTTTTAAGTAACAGCAAAGTGTCAGCAAACAGATTAATTATAATTTATTAATCACATTCGACCTTCCTACTTTTTAAACTTAATTCTTAGTCTTACGTTTATCGAATTTCCTATCTTCGATTTGGAACTGCTCGTTTGGCACAAGAGCGATTATTTAAACTAATAGTAATAGAATTCAAAGCGTGAGAGGGTGTAACATATTATTTACAATGTCGATGGTATTAAAATAAAGGAAAAGCTTAATGGCTTCTGAATTGTAGAAAACTTTCTAGTTTCGGACAAGCAATTTTTGATTTACAAAGAAATCTTCTACGAGTAGGTACCTATTAATTATGATTATTTTAAAAGCACTTTAAAGGGTAGCCAACAAGCCGAGCCATCCATATAGGTACTAATGTACTATACATATTGATGCCTAACTAGTAACTACTTACCAGTGCGGCAGTGCCTAACCTTTGCTATTCATAGGTAATGAATAATATTGTATAGATTAACATTATGTTTTTGGCTTAAAAGTTCTGTATGTAACAAGAATTCGTATTCCCACACATAATAAATAGAAACATAATAAATAATACATAACACATAATAAATAGAAACCGTTCACTCTCAATACATGCGTATCGAGACAATCACTCATTCACTCTACGTCAAAGTAAATAATATTAAACCAAGTTCTTCAAGGTATATGCATTACATTAGTAAGTACATACCTAATAGCTACTGTAGCAAAGTATTGCAGTAAACGTCACTACAGTAAAGTAAAAAATGGTACATGCGTCTTATTAAATGTTGTAAATTAAATGTGTAACTCTGTTTTGTACAATATTGCCATGTCTTATCATAGATGTTCCAACAATTCGTATTTTTTTTTAAATCGATTAAGCATAATATTAAATATTGATTTTGATTAGGTAACTACACCAAACTACCTAAGAAAAATAATAAATGACAATACAAATTTGTAAATAACTTAATTTATTGATGTAATCAATTCTTGTGTAAATATAAGTACCTAATTATTTCAGATACGATAATAACATTAGAACATAAGGTACCTAATAAAATAGTTCAATTATTCACTAATAAATGATAACTTGTTTTTACAGTTATGCAGTATAGTCCGTATAGGTAGTGTCTTGCACGCTTGTGTGCTTACTGCTTTGGCACATCACAAAATAAACCTAAGTCAAAGTAGTCCATCATAATACCCATTTAAAACGTGTATTAGCCATCAGGTATTTAAAAATATTCATAAAATTTCATGTGAATTTCAGATAATCATATAAAAACAAAAGTTCAATATTATTTTATAGTATTGGCACCTAGTATTATGTAATTATTTGATTTGTATATTTAACAATAATTCAGTCATTTAAACGAATACTATGTCCATATTAATCGCAATAAAATTGTGCACATAATATTAAAAATTACTTCAAAATCGTTTCACTTGACATTTCTTAAAAGTTCCGTAGTATAAAACGTACAGTTTAATAAACGTACCAATATGTATTTAATGGTTCACCACAATCCATGGTTATTTGTTGAGAACTTATTGTTTAACATAAGAATTTATTGTCTATACATACAGAATATGGGCGGGATTTCGGTTGATTTCGTGTACCTTTTTATTTTTTATGTTCAACTGCAGCACGCGATTATTTTTGATTGATTAATTTTTTTGTTTAAAGGCATTGGAATTAAGCCCGAATGACAAAACGGCTTTGGTATCTAGAAGCAAGTGTTATTTACTTCTCGGCCAACCACGTTTGGCATTAAAAGACGCTGAAGTGGCTTTGAACGAGGATAGTACATATCTGAAAGGTATCGTAAGAAAATTATTACTCATATAAGTATTAACTTACCTATACTTTTTTGTACAAGGTAAACCATTTTTTCCTTTGCCAACTTTTCACAGTTCGAAAATCAAATAGTATTTCAGTACTTGAGATTCGAAAAATAAAAAATCATAAAAACAATTAGGAATGTTAATTATAAATAATAAATTACATACTAATAGAACAATGTGTAATATGCATATTATATATTTTATTCCGTTAAAAAAACCTGTGATATTAATAAAATGGAAAACATGTTGGACAACAAATAATATTCTGTATGCCGTATCAAGCCCTTAAGACATTATGCAAAAACATGGCACTACAAAAAATGTATATTATGAAGTTACTTTACTCTGTGCTACTTTACACAAATACTTAGAAAAAGTACCTACCTTTTCGCAGAGGCGTGTTTAAAAGGGGTCATAGGGGGCACCCACTCACACCCAGCGGAAAAATCTTAAAATATTACAGCATTTAAATACCTAGATTTTAGATTCTTCATAACATTTATTCGTTTTATCATAATAAATAAACTTATCAGTGACTTAAAATGTTATAAATGTTAAAATGTTTTAGTATATAACATATTATGTATTATATGAAATATACGTACACATGGATAAATATTAATTTATTTTTAAAAACTATTTAGAAATAACAGAATCAAATTATTTTCTTATATTGATCAATTTAATTTTTCTCGATTTCAATATCATTAATTATTTTATTATACAGACATATACAATTACTCAGTAGTCAGTACTCTGTAGGTAATCAGTACTCATTATATAGTGGGCACTTTGTTGATGCTCTACAAATTACAATCATTACCACATTTGGAAATTTGTTTATGATTAACAAGTGTATTTTTTTTTTAAATCTTAAATGTCATCAAAAAGAGTGAAATTAGGTATCAACAGAATAAAAAAAATCTCAAAAGTCAAACATTTAAAATAGGAAGAAATTCCAAAGTATCGTCTTAAGCAATTATTTTACTAAAAAAAAAAAAGTGTAAACATAATTACACAATACCAATAGGTATATATTTTAAAGTTACTTGAAAATTTTTCGAATTTATAATTTGCTTTCTACACATAAAAATCGTATTTTTTATAGTTTCAGTTATTTTTGTTGTTTTCCATAACAACAAAATATAATACAAATTTTATTTTATTTGATTGATTCAATTATATTGTACGTAATCGAATTATATTATTTATAAATGTTAATCATCTACGTCCAGCACCAATATTTTATCAAAGAGCAATATGACAAAAGTATCTTTACTACATATTAAGTACATTTGTTCACAGCTAACTTTTTTTTATTAATGATCGGTATTGTAGTGGCTGGTGGGGGAGGATTGTGGCAAAATATGTGTGCCCCACTGGCACTACACCTTAACACGGCACTGGCTATACATATTAAATATTTTACAAACATCACAATTATAGCGTTGAAATAAATGAAATTATAAAATAAAATTACAACAATTTAAACATATTATTATTAATGCTAATTATACGGAATAATAATACGGGATTATATAAAGGATTCTCAAAATAATACATTTTTTTTTGTGGGAAACAGACACTGTAACAAAGCTATAATAGATTGTCGCTAAACTAAATCAACTTGTAACTACACGCCGCTCTGGGAAATTGTTTACTAGCGATTTTAATGGATTTATCACTAACAACGTACTAGTGTCGTCGAAATGTCGAAATGTCGAATAATAGAATATATAATTCTGGTAATTCTAATACAGCGCTATAAGTTATAACTTAATAGCTTCAATAATTATATTAATCAAGTATCGTAAATTATAATACACATTATACCTTGCCACCTTGGTCACTGGCGAGTTATCTACAGTATTAATTATCTTAGCATCCTCAACAAATACTCGTAGTAGTGTCTATTTTGGCATACAAATACCACGCGTGACATATAGAATAGTGATTCTGTACCAACAATTTTTTTTTGGGGTTTCTCAAAATAACTTAAAAATGAGTGATTAACATCACCCTACCATCACTCCCGGTTAGTGTTTGAGAATCTCTGCTATTGACGACACTGTCGAAACTAGTACACAGTACACTATATATATATATATATATATGTACGTATATATAGGTCTATACATTAGGCATGTATTATAATGATATAATATTTTATTTTTGTGTAATGCAGCCATATATCAGAAAGCGGAAGCACTGTACCATCTCGGCGATTTCGAACACAGTCTCGTGTTTTACCACAGAGGACTCCACGTTCGACCGGAACTCGAACAATTCAGGCTGGGCGTGCAAAAAGCCAGAGAGGCCATCGAGAATGCCATTGGTAAGTTCGAAGGCCGTTTACATCGCACCGCCTAAGCGTATAGCCTGACTTGCAGAGGCAGAGATCCTGCCACAGAGCTTGATTATGTGTATTCAAGTTCTATTGAGTGTTGCAACTTGCAACTATAGGTTTTGCAAAAATTGTTATGGGACACCCATACTTGTATAATAGGTATAATTATATGAAAGATTTTTTTACACTATTGTTTCTACATGGCCAAAAGGAACCAGCCTTTATAACTGAACTTGTTTTTGTTACCTTGTAATTACTAATTCGAATACAATAAAATATACAATACTTGTATTTACAGTTAAAAAACAGCAAATAATACAGGAACTAAAATGACCATCTCTTCGCAAAAATCAAGTATTTCATCGGCGCTTACGTTATCTTACATATAAAAAATTACCCTGAGTATTAAATAAAGTATATGCACCTATTTAGTAACCAGTCTATTTTCAATTTTCAAATGTTCTCCACTTAGGCACACTGCTAAAGTAAATCGAATAATTAGAAAATTATGTCTTTGTACATAAAAGGTATAACAATAATAGTATAATTGAATCACATAATAAAAATATTAACTTGATATGTGCCGTATATGAGGTTATTTGCATCAAAGTTTTATACATATTATAGAATATATAATATACATAGTTAAAATTTAAAAAATGTACAAATATCATGTTCTCGTGTACTGGAAATTTGTAAACAAAATTACTTACAAAAACGTTTTTTCTTACCTTTTGATCAGCAAAATCATAAATTATTTTATTTACATTCAATTTATAAATCTTTTTTGTCACTTGTTAGTTATTAATATTATATTTGACGAATATTTTAAAACATCTCTGTAACAATACTTCAAGGCTTAACTGCGCTATATCAATAATATACCCACCTAGTACAAGTCATAATTAATATTTAATAGGTACCTACTGTAATTTTAATTGAATATTGTTTTTCATATTACCTTTCTTTATGTTTTTTGAGCATCGAGCTACTAATAACTCATAAGCCCAAATGGCAAGGCTGGAAATTTCTTTTAAAAAATGGACTAGTCACTAGTGCACGTTCACGTTAATTTTGTTTAAAGGGAATTAAATAGTTTCACGTCCCTGGCTTAAAGAAAGGGACTAGTTCCTTTCCTCGTTCCTAAACAAAGGATCTTTCGTTCCTTAATAATTTTAAAATTGCGTTAATATACTTTGTAGCAATAATTGTTTAGTTAAGTAGTATTGTTTTGTTTTAAAATGTTTATTTTTTTTATTTCGTACAATTCTAAGTCGATAGACTGCCGTAACTGACTTTAATAAATATTGTCAATATGATCATATAATGTCCTATAAACGTATAATATAGCTTAATATTGGTTAAATTAAAAAAAAAATTATAAAAATTGTTTAAATTCCCTATATTTAAGAACATATAAACAAAAAAAGAACACGAAAAAGAAACTACGTTCCCGATAAGTTCCTTAATATTGAACGAAATCATTGGAAAAAGTTCTTTTCAAGCACTGCCTAAATGTATAGAAAAAAATCACTGTGTAGGAAAAATGAAGGTCACCGCCGCCGCCATACAACAGGTCGGCTGGGCAGACAAACGTCAAGCGACCGCAGGCGGAACAATCAATGTGGCCGGCGGTGGGGTCGGCGGGAGTAGAGGTTCGACACCCGCCGTGACGGGATCGTCAACTAGGCGAAAAGACGCAGCGGCGTCGACAGCCACCACCAAAAGCCAATCGAAAATGTTGCTCAGAGAATTGTGCGTAGACAAGGACTATCTGGAACACTTGACTATAGATCCAAGTAATATATCTAATTCTTACTATAGGGCTAAGATTTTTGTGTGAATATCCATCATATATGTATCTAGGTGGAAAATGTGTGAAAGCCTTTAGGTTATAATGACTATTTTTTGCGATTTTTTAGAGCATTAAGATAACAGCCTTGATATTATTTTAAATTTGACAATATGTCATCATATATATTGACTGACTAACTGACTACAGAACAAATCAATAATTGTGCTTTGCATTTATAGTTAACTGTCGTTGTTAACTAAATTTATTTAGAATTTAAAATAACTATCGTCTTCCGAATAGAATGCTGTCACCCCACATTCCCTAATCATTAAAAACACATTGAACTAGTGCACTTATGTCTAGTATAATTATTGTTCTACACATTCCATTTTTCAGACTACAATATTTTAATTTTAATTACTATATATCCGTGCCATATATTGGTCTAGCGTGTTAATAAGTGAAGTTGTCAAATTTTTTGTTTTTTTGTACAGATATCATGAGTGCTATTCAAGAAAACGACAACTATATACTGTCTGAAGCGAAAGATGGCATTAGTTTTCTAAACGGCCGAGAAGAATTCTGGAAACAACAAAAACTTATTAATTAGATTAATTATATACTTAAAATGAAATTTATTGAATTCAGGTATACATTGTACAGTTTAGATAGGACATTTTTGATGAAATTAGTAGGTACCCACATATAACTAGTCATAAATGTAATAGTAAATAAATTAATTTGATGTATTGAGTAGTTTCTTTTTAGTTTTTTTAGTTTTAGATTTAATCGGAGAGAAGAATATAGTCGTGGCTAGTGCCTATAATGAAATAGTATTAAGTATCCTTAAAATTACAACATACAATTTTTTTTAAATTTATTCAGTTGTTATTAATAATTACCATTAAAAGAAGGACTGAGCGGTTAGTCTTTATCGTGTCAGATATTACAAACTTATCTTAAACGTAAATAATCGTAGACAAATGTTTATCTTTACTTTTTTCTTAATCAATAATATAATACTTTTGCAAAGGTGTGGATGCGTCGTTGCGGGTGTGGCGATACATGTGTTCCGACCACACCTGCCTAAATACGTTCTTAGCTGACGCTTAGCGTCAGAAGGTATAAGGAAGCGAAAGGTTTTAAATATTATAAATTTTTCAAACCCATTTTATTGATTAATGCTATGCTATATTATTGATTCTTTGTCTGAAGAAAACCATGAAAAATCATCCTTTTTGTGTATGATAACCAGATAACCATAAAATATTTTTTAAAATAAAAATTGGTATACCCTACTCGATTTTAGGATTTTGCAATTCCGGATTAAGTCCTTGGTTTTTGCACAACACGTCCGACATGCGTCTTCCAACGGGTTCTTCACCGACTTAGAAATGAGAATAATGTTTGTTTGGTGATAAACTAGTAGATAACCTCGATTATGAATAACATATCTGTAAATAGCAACTTACAATTTGTTGATAGAAATTAATTGTGTTCAATCTTGGGAAAAAAATAAACAATTATAATGTATTAATGGATACAAATTTAGTTTGCTCAATTTCACAAACTGACATTTATATATTAAAATGCGGAGCTCAAATTTAACAAACAAACGAACAGAAGATGTAGAAAAAGAAGAATTTATTAAAAAAACCATGACTCAATTTGGAAACAAAAATATATCACTTCTGGAGGTCGTTCAAAAATTGACGTACCAACAAAAAATTTACTCATTAAAAAAAAAATGTAGGTATAATATTTATTATTATTTTTAACTACACCATTTCTACAACTGACAGTCTTCAGTCTTTCAAAGTGGAGAGGAAAATATTATGTATGCCTACATTAAGTATTAACGAGGACTTAACTCGTACCTACATGTCACGAGAAAATCATTGATGCAACTCGAATGTCGCGATATATATTTTCGTATTTAGGGACACATTTTGTGTGCAGCTGTTCGTTCCATAGGCGGGGATTAGAGATGTTTAGGGAAAATAGCCCCTCCCCATATTGATTGAACATTTTTCAACTGTTCCACTTCTTATTTTGTAAAGGAAGATTTAAGCCCCTCCCCCTAAAATCCAAAAAAATATTGAATATCTATTATATGTTAGGTTACAGTTCCGAAGCAAGTAGGTATAGGTACAAGCCCCGAGGTCTTAAAAACCACCACGTTAGGAATCATAGTACCTACAGAAAAGGAATGGAGAAACTGTATAAAATAAAAACGGTTTAACATCATCAACATCAAAATATTTGTAACAGGAACTTATGCTGTGATCGTGATGTTCAGTGAGCGGTCGCCGTCGACACTCACTGCCACCGACGACTGACAAACGAATGTATATCGAGAAGCTACTATTACATGCATACGACCCTGGTCGATGGGAGTCCAACATTCACTGCCTAGAAACTGACGAACGAAAGTATAACGAGGACTGAGGAGCAACTAAACGGTGCAACCTTACGGTGTGTGATGCACTGCCATTGCTCTGTATCGGTACATGTTCATGCCTCACCACTTTTTATTCTATGTAGCCGTCGTGTTAATATAGACACCTTGTTTATGTGGCAATTTTGGTGCACCACTTAAATTAAAGCCATATAACGTACAATTATCGCAAATGCTGCTCAACGATAGCCGATAATGCCCCAAAAATGAATTGAAAATGCCTAAAGGTCTCCACTGGATTTTGTAATTTTGATAAAAAAACGTACAAACTCAATATAAAAATTAAAATAACGGATGACAACATTGAGAGTCGACTCTTCAATTTATCCATGGTATTTGCCAACGAAGTCTTTAAAACAACACGACGGCAATAACCATAATTGGTGTTTAGTAAAAATAGTAAAAATATTTAAAAATAAAAAATATTAATAAAATCTAATTTATCCTTTATTTATTACACAATATCAAGACTACTCGGCTTTTCTTTTATTGACACAGTAGGTACTTTTCACTAACTGTAGAGACATTTGGATATTGAATACCCAACAATAATTTCCGACAAATTTACGTTTCGTATCCGGATATGAGTATATGACTGTGCGGTTCGTGTTCGCAGTCGGATAGTTCAGTCTTCGGTTAAGATGACGTCTCACCTTATGTGTTGTATCCGTCTTACAAACGTCTAAACATAGCAAAAACTGTTTTGAGCAGGATAAGACCACTCATTCTGTAGTCTAAGCTAAGCAATAAAATGTGCATACTATTAGGATTTAGGAAGTGAACATTTACTGTTCAACATAGTTTTTCGGTATCACAAATACAAGAAAAGTTGTTATTGTTTAAAAATTCATTATTTAAAACTCGGATAACTTTTTTTATATCTGTGATATCAAAAAAATAAAAATAATGATACACAGTAAATATTCTGCTCTAAATAGTATGGAAATTTGGTTGCTTAGCTTGGACTACAGTCTGATTGGTTCTATCCCGCGCAAAACAGTTTTTGCCATGTCTTTCATTTGTAAAGGACAACAAGTGCGAGTAGTGTGGAATGGAAGGAATGGAAAACTGTATAAAAAAAAAGCGATCTAACATCATCAGTCATCAGAATATTTATGCTGTGATCGTGATGTCCAGTGAGGCGTCGTCGTAGATACTCGCCAGTCGCCGCCGCCGACGACTGACAAACGAAGGTATATCGAGAAGCTACTATTACATGCATACGACCCTGATCGATGGGAGTCCAACATTCACTGCTGATGTTAATATATTATTATATTATTATATCACTTCGGTGCCCTCTATCGGTACACGTTCATGGCGTTCACTTTATATTATCTTATAATGCCGTTGTATTAAAATAGACACTTTCTTTTGTGGTGATCGTGTTATGCCACTCATACTAAAGCCATAAGCTTCGACGCTTCGTCGTAACTATATATTGTACTTATTTTATTATTTATATTTTATTTTTAATGAAGAGTTTATACTTTCATTTTATTGCTTATTTTTAATTTTGATTTTAGAGGACAGTTACGCTAACTGTGGTGGGAGTGTGGGGCTCCCAAAGTTATTTTGAACATAAGTTCTCTAGGACTCAAGCCCCTGTATCTATTAAATCCTAGTTACGCCTATGCTCACGCGGCTCTTAAATCAATTTCGTGCGGCTTTTGAACTAAACTTATACTAAAATTAATAAATATATAATTTTATTAGAACCGTATGAAAGTGGTTTTTATTGCCATCGGTTTCGTTATTTTTTGAGTCGTTATTAGGTTTAGATTTTCTAGAGATGTGAGTGGTGTAAATTTACCAGGTAAATTATTTTTTACCAAAAAAAAATGTTGTGTGACCCCTCTAATCAAATTAAATCGAAAACGCCTAATCTGCATTGTAAAGAGATATATTGTTTATCAAATGTAACAATACAATAATGAATAAAGTACTTATCACGGTTTAAGATAAATCTTAAACCGCGATACTAATCATATTTTCTATTTGTTCAGTATACGGTCGATCGTCAATCGTTATCATGTTATCTGAGTTATCAGCTGTCGACCTGTGTTGTTATGACTATTTGACATTTCTATTTTAAGACATATTTTCGAGTTTCTAGTCTCTAGACTCTATAGTCTATAGCATATCAACAAAAATATATTTACCAATTTCGTTACTATTCATGGCTTTACATTTCTCAAAATGAATTTTGATAGTTTAGTTTAATTTAATTTAATTTAAATTATTTATTAATTGTTATATGAACAATTCAATATTCATATTTCATAAAATGTACTAATTACTAATGTCTAATACAGAACAATAGATATTTTAGGTTCATTTTTTAAATTTTATGTTAATTATTGTTATTATTAGAAAGAACTAGATTTAACGAGTAGATATACAGCATTAGAACCTAGGGCAAATCGTATTAACTAATGTCTAATAGTAAAAAATAACAATGGCTCTATGATTTAGCTATTTTACCATTTTTACCATATTATTGGTAAATTTACCGTAAAATGTACCGGTAAATTTACCGATATTTTTTTTTACGTAAATTCTCCATCTCTTAGATTTTCATGCCAGAGCTTTAAATATATGTAGCCTAAAATAATCACTGTGTTTCGCAGAGTTCCTTCATTTGATTTAAAATGAAAAATGTATCTTCATTTTTTAAACATTGCTTTACAATGTTTCTCACCTCGAATTAACTTTATAAATTTGCGGCTCCCAAAGTTAAGGTTAGTGGCCACCTCAGTACAAGACCATGACTGTCAATGGACCAATTGATATTAGGTAGATTTAAGTCTCCACAGAGGATAACATTTTCATTTACATACGAGTTAAGTAAATATTCTACTGTACTAGTATAAGTCTCATAGGATATATTAAGAGAATTAGGAGAAAAATATACACCACCAACTACAAAATGTTTATTTTTCATACTAAAGCTAATAAATAGCTGTTCAATATTACCTATTACTGCTAATAGGAATAATTTTTGTGGGGAATCTTTATGTATGGCAACAAGTACTCCACCACATTTTGAACAAAACCTAGTTAATATACAAAATTATTAGAAATCGGAGCACCGACATAACTCCGTTTTGACATTCCGGAAAGCCGATCCGTTTCTACGGAGAGTCGGTGTATAAGGGCCACAGGTTAGTTAGCGCGACCAATCGCGTAACGGCAAGCCGTCGCGGCGTTATCTCGCTTTTTTTTCGTTATCAATATAGTTGTTTTTTTTTTCAAAAAAATGTAATCGGTTTACAATTCTTTACTCTGTTTTTTTACTTTTAGACCTTTCTTCATCGCCCTTACTGCAACTTTCGGTTTAATTATTCTTTTAAAACCCGCAGATATGCGGCTCGCAACCTATCCTCGAAAGAGCTTCCACAAACCGATCGTCTTCAATCAGTCGGTCTTCTTAGAGCGGAACCGTTCGTTACAACATGGATATAATATACCTTTTTTTTCAAAAGAAATGTTGCTGTATACACTGTACTAGAAACTAGTATAGTAAATTATAGTTCATGGATAAATAATGGGTATTGTTGAGGATACTGTATAGTGTATTGTTTTTACTTTAACCTATTTTAATTTTGTTTTTAGTCACAAATTATGACAAACTTTCTAAAACAATATTGGAAAAATCATGTGAAACAAACATTGTAGCTACTACCTCATCATGTAGTAATCAAGAAATGTTGTGCAATATTGATAAACATTCAAACATTTCACAGGAACCCTTTGTACAAATATCCAGAAGCACTTATATATTATGTAAGAAAATTCTTTATAATAAGTAACAATTATAACTACGAATTCTGCAACTAAAAATTGTGTTCATATTTGATGTACCTATTTAAACTTTGTTTAGCTGAAATGAAAACATTTCTAAACATGAATGAAGAACATACAAGTGTTTATGAGTCTGCATCTCCTATGTGTTCTTACAACACATACGCAATACAGTTTTCAACACCCCGTCCAATATTATATGCCTCAGCTATACTCAATAATGGTTCAACCAATTTTGTTGTTAATCGTGTTGAAAATTAGTCTTATGTATTAACTTTGAAATTTTTTTGGTGTAAATGTACCACATTTAAAAGGTAATAGTTAAAAAAAACTTAATCACTGCAAATCATTGATGCACTCATTTAATTTACTTATAAATTACATCGAAGTATGCTTTGCTAAAAACTAAAAACTGTTATATTTAAATTAAAAAATATACATGTATCTAATTTTATTTTATTATTATTGTATTTAGTAGCTATGTAATAAGTAATAACTATTAAAAAAATTAATATTTTTCTATTTCAGATGCTGCTCAGAAAAATATATTGAATCTTATACATGAACAATTTGTTGCAACAAATGTATATTTATGTACCCGAAATAATAACCCTAGGTTTATACTAAGATTATACTCGTAATACAAATGTTCCAGATTTTAAACTCAATGAGGTAAGAATATTAAATTTTTTAAGAACTTTTTTTTAAAATGTATAATCTCTTAGCTACATAAAAATCACTAATGCATATTCTATTTTATAAAGTCCTATTAAAGCCATACTTTAATTTTTCAGAAAATTTTTTACTGATATCAAGAATTTCATTAAACATGTGTTACAAATTATTTTCAGGAACGAGTTATCTTCAAAATGTTTGTAGACAGGTTTTTTAAATAACTACAGAATTGAAAACATTTTGTTTATGAGCTTCATGAAAGATAGTTAAAATATTGTTGAGTTAAAAATTGTATAGCTGAAATAATTATTTTTGTTTGTTTATTTGTTTTATAGACTAGTCAAGAAAAAACTTCAACTCTTCAGATCTTGATTTTGAGTTACACGTAAAAGACGGGTTTCTTCATGGCTAACAATTTAATAATAGATCAACAGACACAAAATAAATAATAATTTTTCTATTTATTTACAATCAGAGGAGAAAATAATTGTATAAACTTAGGCTCATCTGTTACCTTGTATCTATAGTAAGTATTTTTTACATGTTATATTTACAATTAACTAATATATATATATATATATTATAAGTCATATTCAGAAAATGATATAGGTAGGTAGGTGCTCATTATAATAATAGCAAATTGTAAATTTTATATTGTGTATCTTTTTTAATGTAAATGCAGTTGCCTCATAATAATTATACATATAAATTATGCCGTATATATCATGATTATTATGTTGATACTTATGCTTTATTCAATAGTTATAATTTTAAATGCAAATTCGTTTTGTACCTACTTATGTTTTTATAAAAGAAAAGTTGTTCATAAGATACCTACTAGAATATCACTATACACAATGTGTTATGCATTTTGTATGTAAATGCCAGATTACTATCTACCTAGCTACTTATGTTAGGTATTCATCATAATAATAGCAAATTGCAAATTTTATATTGTGTATCTTTTTTAATTTAAATGCAGTTGCCTCATAATAATTCTACATATAAATTATGCTGTATATATTATTATTATTATTATTATTACTATTATGTAGATACTTATGCTTTATTCAATAATAATAACTTTTAAAAACAAATTCATTTTTGTACCAATTTGTGTTTTTATAAAAGAAAAGGTGTTCATTAGGTACTAGGTATATAACTTTACATTATAATGTGTGTTTTTTATTTTGTTTGTAAATTCTATATTATTATACGTTTAATAACTGTATAAGAAATATGTTATTTACTATTATTATTATTTTTTCATTATTATGTATTAATGTTATATTCAATAACCAAACTTTGAGATAGAAATTCATTTTCATACCTACTTAAATATTTATAAAGCAAAAGAAAAGTTGTTATTTACTACTTGGTATATTACTATACATTATATTATGTGTTGGTCATTTTGTATGTAAATTATTTTTTGTATGTTATTAAACATTTAATAACTATATATAAGAAATAAATATTTTATTATTATTTCATGATATATATTGAATATTAATCCTTTAGAGCTCGACACTAGTAACAACCTCATATATTTGATTTCTGTTGCCAGGAGGTATATTTTGTAATTTTAATATGGATACTGACTAGGGTAAATCCGTTTTTATTTCTATAGATATATCATATTAGGTTAGTAATTTTGTATGTAAATGCAATATTACTAGGTACCTAGCTACTTATGTAAGGTATACATTTAATAATTAAATTGCATATTTTATGTTTTGTATTTATTTTTGATGTAAATGCAGTTGTCTCATTATAATAATTAAACATACAATTTAGCTGTATATATTATTATTATTATGTAGATACTTATGCTTTATTCAATAGTAATAACACTTTTAAATGCAAATTCATTTTTGTACCTACTTATGTTTTTGTAAAAGAAAAGTAGGTCATTTTTTATGTAAATGCTATATTATTAAAATTTAATAAACATATAAGAAATAAGTTATTTACTATTATTATTACTATTATTATTTCATTATAATGTATTAATGTTTTAGTCAATAGCCAAACTTTTAGATAGAAATTAATTTTCATATCTACTTATTTGTTTATAAAACAAAAGACAAGTTGTTCATTTGTTCATTAGGTACTAACTACTAGGTATATTATTTTACATTAAATTATGTGTTATTCATTTTGTATGTAAATGCAATATACATCCCGTATACAATGCGATGAACCTAGCTACTTATGTTATAAATTTAATTATAAAATTACAAATTGTATGTATTGTAACTATTTTTGATGTAAAGGCAGTTGTCTCATATTAATTATACATATAAAGCATGTTGTATATATTATTATTTATTATTATTATTATGTGAAAACTTATGCTTTATGCAATTGTTATAACTTTTAAATAGAAATTCATTTTTGTATCTACTTATGTTTTTATAAAATAAAAATTGTTCATTAGGTGCTAGGTATATCAATATACATTATAATGTGTTTCTCATTTTGTATGTAAATGCCATATTACTATTTACCTAGCTACTTATGTTAGGTATACATTTAATAATTAAATTGAAAATTGTATGTTTTGTATTTTTTTTTTATGTAAGTGTAGTCTCATTATAATAAATTAAACATGCAATTATGCTGTATTTATTATTATTATGTAGATGCTTATGCCTTATTCAATAGTAATAACTTTTAAATGCAAATTCATTGTACAAGCCCAATACTATGCACGAGAACACTGTTTAAAAGTGATAAGGTGGCCAAAATCAACAAGCGTACTTACACAGGGACATGCGCCTTGTAAATTACGGGTAGGCAATTAAATATGCACTGATGACGACAACGAACAGGACGGGAAAGACCTATCACGGGAATGAGGATTGTATTTTTCCCAATCTGTTTTTGGTACTTCTAGTCTTAGAACTAATTAGTTTTATTATATTTTTGGACTTCAAAGTGCCTCCACCGGAATGATTTTTCATTCTGGGAAACACTTCTTTTTTTTTTCTTCACGTGTATATTATTATATAATATTTATATTGTACTTAGGTATCATCACACTCGCACGTACATTGTTCATTAGTCATTATATCTAATATTATATTATAACACGCAGATTGTGGGATAAAAATGTGAGTTCAAAACAAAAAAATATATTACATCAGATATTATAATAATTAATTATATGTATAAATAATACTAATTTTATTTTAATATGCCTATTTTAAATTTATTTATTTAAAATTACGCCTCGACTGCCATTGTTATTTTCGTATCTGAAGAAATACATTACAATTTTACATTGAGGTATATGTTTTTTAAAATACATCAGATATAATCTATGTAGTCTTGTTATATTTTCTGCAAAAGGTTCGTTTTCTTGAGAAGTTCCAGAAGAATCGATGTACTCGCTGTGTTGGGTGACATTTTGTCTTTTTTGTTTTGAATAAAGGGGTCAAAATAATTCTTACAGAATATCCTGTCCCATTTAATTACTCCTCTAATGAGTCAAATATCAGTAATTACCGTTTTGCTTTTTTCACATATTTATTTCATGGCATACCTTCCAGCAACAATTTAATCTAACAGTCCGTCTTATTACCATACTTATTATGACAGACACGAAAAAAAAAATATATATCATTGTTAAATCAATGCATTCGGCGAATCTAAAATTTGAACCTAAAATAAAAATAGTATTATTTGATTTAGTAGAACATAAATTAAATTGTTATTCAGGTTTTTGGCATTAAATTGTATAATTAGAAAAATATATGCGATTTCTTAAACATCCAAGTCTAAATGATTACTTATAAAGCAATACTGTAGGTTAAATTATTATTTCTGAAAACAATGCATTAGAAAAGTCATTATGTGCATTAAATAACAATAATATATTAATAAATGTGTGTGCATAAGACCACACGACAGAAGTGAAAACGTCAACAAGGCGAAAATAATAATACGAAATACAAGTTTTTTTGCGTTCTATATTGATAAATTAATAACTTTTACAATGTACTAAATTATAATTGTGTATAAATTACTCCAGTGAATTAAAAAGATAACTCTTACTTTGTTAAAAATAAACAAAAATAAAATTCGAATACACCGTTTAAAAATAGACATTTCACTCAATAACCACGTATAAAAACATAAGAATTGCACCGATAACCAAGTAAATTATAAGACCATAAAGATGCCTATGCAAATTGTCGACTACCCGTCGACCTCGGCACTCAAAGTGTTAACGAATAATGCTTAATTGGTAATTTCTTGAAATGGATTGTATATCTGAATACATATTTTACAACACGACGACCTGTGGGTTTCCATAGCTACATGCAACCATAACTTTTTGTCCGTTTTACTATGTGTTTGATCGGCGTGTAAATATGAATTGTTCCGAGAAGTATAATTCTACAATCTATCTATACATCTAACTAGGTATGTATATAAAAATAAATCCCTATATCCTTTAGTCGAGGCATCACGCTTATCGCCTTTCATTTAAAACAGATCCATCTATCTTCTATCTATGATAAAAAAAACAGTTAGTTTATAATTTCTTAGTGCTCATTTCACAGTGGAATCAATCGGAAGATTAATGAACAATTTTACAATGAGTTTTTTAATAAGTATTTGTTCATCATGGTTAGTTTAAGCAATCACGCTTAA